TTTGCTGGCACAGTTGTTTTGTTCAGCTGTGTGATAAACCAGATTAGGAACCTGATTTGGCTGAAAAATAGCACGGGGAAGGGAGGAGAGGAGCCATTTACAACCAGCTTATTTCTCCAGTCAAGGCTATGAGGCAGTTGGGTCTGCAGCAGTGACAAGCAGTGAGAGATGCAGGGTTGCAGAGCAGCCGTGCCCTGTGCTGGTTTATGTAGGCTGCTGCCAGCTGTTAGGTGACCTGATTCTGATGATAAGCCAAGCTAATAGCTGCCTGCTGCTGACAGGGTAGTGCTGCACCTCCTTCCTCACTCTCAGCACAGCTTGGTTCCTGTCCATTCCCTTGTGCCAACACAGGTGCTTATCTCACCCAAGTGAGCCAGCTGTGGGAGCTAACCCAGCACAGAAGCACTTGCTTCTTCTGAGGGCTTTCCTGGCTATTGTTTCAAGAGCCCATGGAGCCCACCCACCCACTCAGCAGCAGCTCTGTCAGCTCAACTTTGGCCTCAGTTGCACCACAGCGCTTCACAACTTTGTCTTTTCCTGTCATTGCTTGTCCTCTTCCCTCTCAGTCTCCGTATCTACTCCATCTGTTTTTCTCATAGCTGTGTTAATGATGTCCTTTTGGTCACCCTCAACATATGGAATACACTCTCTGGAGCAATTGCTGCATCTTTCAAATCTCTCAAGATTTTCTCTTACCATGACACATACTGTAAACTGCCAGCAGATAATGCCCAGTTTAGTTGCTTGTAGGAATTTTGGATTTCATTACAACACTTAACGTAACCATGTGTTACCTTGAAACAGGCATAGTCTATCAGTTTATTTGAGAAGCTAAAAGGGATTAAACAGAACCTTTTTTCTTTTTTTTTTTTTTTTAAAAAGAGCAAAAATTCCCAAAGCTATGCCCTAGAGGAGATGTACTTCCCTAAGGTCATATATAAATATCAGAGGATTATTTCCTGTTGCTTTCACACCTTGAGTCATCATTCATGCTTGTGCAAATGGACATAGCATTGCTACTAAGCAGTTTACAATAACATCTTACAGAATTGTAAATTACTGCCCCAGAGACATGATAGTAGAGAGTCAGCACTTATATGGGCAGCTGAGCATAGAGATTTAGGGATTTCTTTTCACCTAGCTGTTTTTACTGTTTGGGTTCTTTTTAGACACATGTAGAAGCATATCCTAAACATATTTCATCCTAGTATCTTGGTGTGCTAAGCATTCTTTTTCCTATTCAGTTAAATGGAAACTGTATAGAAAAACAGCAGTGAGCAGCATATTGCCTTGGAAGCAATAAAATAAAATTATCTGTGTTTGCTATTTAAAAAAACAAGCAACACAAACATGACAGGGGGCACCTCTACACCATGCAACAGAGCATAAGACTTAGCATATATTCATCGAGTTACTTTTGAAATAGGAGACAGCAGCTGTAGACTTGTGTATGAGTGCTGTTGCACCCAAAGTACTTAACCCTGTGGTAGGTGGTGCTAATTAGGTTGGACGTGGTGCTAATTAGGTTAGATACAACACTGTGGTCATGCAAATACACAGAGCCTGTGCGTCCAGCTCAGACCTGGCTGGAGCATTCTGCACTAACTGCTGCATGAGGCCATATGTGTGCATCCAGAGAGAGAAATGGTTTGCTCTTGGCCACTTGTTCATTACCCCTGTAGGGTTTAGCTTCAGTAACATGCATTTGCCATATACAGGTGTCAGATGTGGCTTTGTTCCAGGTTTACTTCCCTCTTGATAAAAACAGAAGACACACTTTTAAGTGTGTTTTTCAGGCTCTGAGTTGTTGTTGTTGTGGAATAATGGGCATCCAACACAGCTGCTTCTTAAAACTGTTCTGTTTTACTTCTTAATTAAGGCTGTAAGTACTGAGAGGAGCAGGAAAGAAGGGGATGGTAATTTTTTCAGTCACTAGAAGTTTATGGAAATTGTGCATATCTGCTGCAAGGTCATGGAGGCAGACAGCAGTATGACAAAGAGCCAAGCACATTCTTCTCCAGTACATTTATCAGGAGACCTGCCTTCCCCCTTCAGTGAGACAAAGCAATGTTTCAGATTGGAGATATGATCATGACTACAACATAAATTCTGTATCTATGTAACTGGATGGCAAATATATCACCAAAGCACTGACTGCAGAATTGCTGTCTTTTTACATAACTGCTTCATATATCTATAAATATAACATTCTTTCAAAATTGAAATGTTCAAGTTGATGTTTGTAGGAAGGTTAGTGCTTATTAGTAAGAACAAAGTAAGCTGAAGAAGCTTTTTTCAAGAGGCAGTGTTCAGAATGACCTGTGGGATAAAGGGAATTACAAGATCTTTCTCCTTTTTTTGTATTTTTTAAAGGATCTCAGGTAGTCATTCTGGCAACTTCTCTCTGTTGTTTCATTTCTGTTTGACAGACAGATGAGACAAAGGTTTCATCAGAATGTTGTGAGCCATCAGTAATAACAAGGAAAGACTAGTGAAAATGTGGACCCTGTCTATAAGGAAATGGGACGTGCTCTTCCAATATATGGAGAAAACTAAGGTACACAACAACTTTTTTGCCTCAGTCTTCACTGACAGGTGCTCCAGTCACAGTGCCCAAGTTACAGAAGGCAAGGGCAGGGACTGGGGAAGGAAGATCAGATTCTGCTCTAGGAGAAGATGAGGTTTTGAGAACCTGAAGATGCCCAGGTTCATAGGACCAGATGAGATACATCCACAGGTCCCAAGGGAAGTGGCAGAGGAAGTGGCTAGGTCACTACCCATTGTATTTGAGAAGCTGTGACAGTTTGGTGAAGTTCCCTCTAACTGGAAAAGGGGAAATGTAGTCCTCATGTTTAAAGATGGGGAAAAGGAAGATACAGGGGACTAGAGGCCAGTCAGTTTCACCTTGTTATCTTGCAAGATCATGAAGCAAATCCACCTGGAAACTGTTCTATGGCATATAGAAAATAAGGAAGTGATTGGTGACAGCCAGCATGACTTCACTAAGGGCAAGTCATGCCTGACAAATTTGTTTGCCTTCTACAGTGAGGTAACAGTGGGTAAGGAAAGAGCAACTGAAATCATCTACCTGGTCTTGTGCAAAGCATCTGACACTGTCCTGTACAATAGCCCTGTTTGTAAACTGAAGGGATACAGATTTGATGGATGGACCACTTGGCAGATAAGGATGTGGCTGGATAGTCACACTCAGTTCTGAGTTGCTGTCAATGCCTAATGTCCAAATGGAAGAGTGACAAGTGGCGTTCCTCAGAGGTTGGTAATGGGACAGGCACTGTTTAACACCTTTGCAAGGTAACATAGAGAGGGATGTTGAGGGCACCCTTAGCAAGTTTGCCATCAACACCTAACTCTGTGGTGCAGTTGGCACACTGCAGGGAAGGGATGCACTAGGGTGACCTGGTCAGTCTTGAGCTGTGGGATTGTGCAAGCATCATGGAATTCAACAAAGCCAAGTGCAAGGTTGTGGGTGTGGGCAATCCCAGGCATGAATACAGGCTGGACAGGTGGGTGGATGAGAAGATTGACATGAGCTGACAAAAGTGCACCTGCAGCCCAGAAAGCCAAATGTGTCCTGGGCTGCATCAAAATCAGCATGGCCAGCAGAGTGAGGGAGGGGATTCTGCCCCTCTCCTCTGCTCTCATTAGACACCACTTGGAATGCTGCATCCAGCTCTGGGGTCCCCTACATAAGGACATAGACCTGTTGGAGTGAGTCCAGAGGACAGCAGGATGACCAGGGGGATGGATGAGGAAAGACTGAGGGAGTTGGGGTTTTTCAGCCTACAGAAGAGAAAGCTCTGGGGAGATCTGATTGTGGCCTTTACCACTTAGAAGGGGGCTGCAAGAGAGCTGAAGAGAGACTTTTCACAAGGGCATGTAATGATAGGACAAGGGGGAATGGCTTTGAACTGAAAGGGGTTAGAATGTTCCTTACTGTGAGGATGGTGAGGCACTGGAACAGGTTGCTTTGAGCAGTTGTGGATGCCCCATCCCTGGAAGTGTTCAAGATTAGGTTGGATGAGGCTCTGAGATATCTGGTCTAGTAAAAGGTGTCCCTGTGCATGGCATGTGTGCTGGAACTGGCTGATCTTCAAGGTTCCTTCCAACCCGAAGAGTGCTATAATCTATGGCAACTGACCTGTGGCAAGTCAGCTAGCAACTGTGCTGCATAATATACTTGGACATAATGGACATAATTGGACAACTTGGACATAAGTAAAATATGATACCTGTGAAATGATGAAAATTATGAGAATTCATAGCTTTTTTATATTGGTATGGTTGATCCTGGCACTTTGTTAATTGTTTAATGTCACAAAGAGGGATCCAGTTCCCTGAAGATTTGAGTGATCTTTATAAACTTTATAATGTCATCAACCAGTTTTTTCTTGTTCAAGGTATGGCAGTGATATTGCCCACTACATAGCAGGAGCATAGATTTTAAAAAATAATATTGCTTAGAAAAAGGCATACACAGAGTAAGTAATCAAAAGTTTGGTATTTTAATTTTTTTTTTTAGTCTTTTTGATGTTATCTTCAATTAGGTTTTTTTCCACTGTGCCTGCCAGAAAAAATATATGCATGCACAGCTAGCTATCTCTGACTTTTAAAGTCATGGCACTTGGCAAAATGCTTTTAAAGAGAGAAATACAAAAGCCAACATTATCCATGAAAATTATGTAAATATTTATAAGCAATATATGTTTGATTTCTGTTCTTTTAAAAATTATTTATTTATTTTTAAAATCCATCTGTTGCTACCAGATGATAAATATTTAAATCAAATTTGTGCCTGGGATACAAGGGCACTATTTCTTCCAGAAGGGACATTATGAATTTGATACTGTAGGCCCAGCCTCAGTTCCCCAGCTCAAACAGCATAGCAGGCACTTTGTTGGGGTGCATTTATACACTTGTATGAAAAAGCTTCCTGTCTGGTAGGCTATAAACAGGCGATCATTTTGCCTAATCTCTTTCAGGAGGTTTCCTAGAGGCTGGACTAGAATATGTCTCCTGGGAAAACACCTCATTTTGCCTGAAAGATTCCAAGCAATGGTGACTTACCACCTCCTCAGGTAAGTTGTTCCAATGTCTAGTTACCCCCATTGCTAAGAAATCCCTTAATTTCAATCCTGAATTTGTCTGACTCTAGTTTCCATTCATTATATCTTTTTATGTTTCTGTCTGCAAGACTGAAAAGCTCACCCTACAATCAAGTGCCTTTTCCATGTGTGTATATCTGGGTACAGTGATCCAGTCACCACTCTTCTCTGACAGATTTAGTAGATGTCTTAAACCTTATACCTTAGGTGTTATTTTTCAACCTCTGGATCATTTTTTCTGCCCTCTGATTTTTTTTTCTAGTGCTTATATATATCCCTGAATCATCGGCACTGCTTTTTCTGATGCTGGGTGTAGAGCAAGGTCACATCCTAATAGTTACTCCCTTTTTTCCTACAGAGGATAATCAGTTATTATGTATTACAGCTGACATTTGCTGATGCATTGCATGTGTCAATAGATTGGTAGATAAAGTCCCTAGAACTGTGGAGGTCTGACACTTGCAATGTGTGTTTGCACTACCTAATTCATGCTCTGAATTCAAGGAGCAATGTCTGTCAGATTTTCTGCATACAGTGTCCCTTTTAGCTACTTAGATGATCCATAAATCCCACTAATACATAAAAATTGTAGTTCCCATTTTCCAAATTAAGAGGGAAAGGCTACATTGCAAAGAGTTAATTTTGTTCTTCCTGTAGGAGAGATCCTACATTAGGAAGAGAAGTATTCTATTGCTGTGCTCAGAGTGGAAGAAAAAGGGTGAAGAAGCACTGAGAGAACACGGTGGCAGATTTCTGTGAAAGCTCTGAGTGACTGTTTATGTGGGCATCAGGGGGGATGAAAATAGCACCCAGTTAGGAGTTCTACCCAAGAAAAGCTGAAATTTAATAGAGCTGGCTGGCTTATGTCTGGACACATACAAAACTGGTAAGAAAAAAAATGTCATTAATAGCTTGTGCAAGTTTATCTCTATTTGTTTATCTCATTTAAAAACTGCTCTGAGTACAGGTGTATGACTTTAACTCCTGTGGTAGAGAATTATAAAATCACAGAAATGTTGTTTGGGAAGGATATGTGCAAATCAACTAGTCCAGCTCTGTGCTTGATGCAGGCTGTTGACAACATTCACTTAGGAATGGACCTCTTTGGAAAATCTGAAAATTTTGTCCACAACTCCTCTGACTCCTTATCTACCACACCTTTTTCTTATTCTTCTATCAGAGAGGCAAATCCTATTCAACTCTAACATGAACTCAGTCAGGGAACACTGCTGTCAGGAAGAAGAAAGCCTGTTCTTTTACTTCTCAAGATTTCTTGAGTTTAATTAGGCAATGATCCTGTCTAACATAGGCTGTATGACTGTGGATGCTAGCACACAAATGGTACAAGAGCAGATAGGAGCATTCAAGGGGAACTGCTTATGCAGCACAGCTTTGTAATATAACCACAATGCTTGCAGTTTGCCAGTGCAAAAAAAAAGTGAGATCATTCTGCTTCTCCCCCTCCTCCTTGGCCATGCATTTCCATTTTTTTGGTAGCCATGTCAAGCTGAACTAGAAGAAAACAAACCTCACCATAAAAAGTAAGTAATTACTGAATAGTTTATTGAATAGCAGTGCCAGTTGGGACAGACTTGTATGGAGCTGCTCTTTTCAGTGACAGCTACCCATTTAGCTGGCTTTGCTGCAATGAGAAATTTCATCTCTGAAGTACAGTTCCATAGCAATTTATCCTTATCTAAGTCGGAGTTATCATGGTCTGTCCTGGTATTTTTGCAGCTGAGCAGGAGGCTGGTCCAAGGAGCTTTGCAGCCAAGAACTAAGCTTGAACTAAACCCCAAAAAATCCTGCTTGTCCTCCACTGATTTAATGGAGTTGATGTATCTGAAAATGAATCGCTCTTTCATACAGTGAGTTTTAAATTTGTGACCTGACCTGATGCTGGTGTGCTGCTACATGTAGTGAGAGAAGGGAAAGGGAGAAAGGCTGGATTGGGAATCTATGTCCTCAGACATGGACAATGTCCATGATTTCATTTGCTCTTTTCCTGAAGCATATTATTGATGTGACTTTTTGTGTTCACAGTAGGTCTTAAGATTATTGTAAGATGATGAAAGAGACCTGTCTTGTATGGAAGCATGCAGGGTCAATATTCTGTGGATCATTCTGGACTCAGTGATTGAATGACAGCTTGTGTTTGCAGGGACTGACTCAGTGACCCAGGTGGTCTTTTCCAGTCTTATATTTTTAGCTGTACCCTTGTTAAGAGTACCCTAGTGTTAAAACTGTTGAGAACTAATTTTTCTGAATTTGACATTAGTTAGCCACTTGCTAATTTGTTGCATTTGGTACTATTCCATCCTTCACTGATGTAATTTTTTTACAGTAGAGTGAAAGAAAGAGAGCATTTTTACTCTTAGTTGTGCTAAAGATTTTCCCTAAATGCAGCCATTAGAGACCAGCTGCAGACAAAACAGCACAGGCAGTTGATTTTTCAACAATGTTAGATTTTGAACTCCTGTCTGCAGTAATTAATTAGCTTCATTGCTGAGCCGACTCCCTGCGGGACTGCATGATCATTAGTGCCAAAGCCAGGAAGGGAGCCTGAACTCCCAAACCCCTGAGAAGCTACTGCAGCAACTCTTGTCATCTGTAGAGCATTTCAAGAACATTTCAAGTGACACTTGTAGAAAAGATTCACTTTCTCATCTGTATGAGGGCCTTTCTCAGATTGAGTTAGACTGCTGGCTGGGACCATGCAAATCTACTTCCCGGGCAAGATTTTGTCAAAGGCTATCTAAAACCCAAAGGGTTGCTCTCAGCTAATTCATCTTAATTTTGCTGAAGTGTAGAGAGAATTATAGAAGACTTGAGAGACATCAGGGTAGAAATCAATGGTGATGTACAGTACTGAGGTTGCTGTGCCAAAAGCTAGCACAGAACCAAGTATCTGTCAGCTAAAAGTCAAACTTGGATCCAGCAGAGACACAAATGAATCCAAACATGCCAAAATGAAAGTGCTGGCATGAAATTACACAACTTCCTTCAGGTGCAGAAAACCAGCAGACACTGAGATTATTTACAAATCACTTTTATGAAATACTTTTTGTAGGCTTGGGATGCAGTGTAATATAGTTTAATCTCTTCTCTCATCCCCCATGCTTGTTTCAGAAGAGAACAAGAAATTTAATCCAAACAAAGGATTAAGAAATTTCAATAACTGGACTACTGCCATTATCAAAACAATGGACCAGCTCTTTAAATGCTTGTTCTTGATTGAATTGAAGTCAATGACTACATCAGAGGGAGCAGAACTGGAATGCAGAAAAGAAGAAATGAAAAGTCTAGAAGAGATATACAACTATTTTTCCTATTATTCACTTCTAGCAATGCATTGCGTAAACAAAGCAGCTCTGAGAAAGAATCTCTCCTCACTGGAGAATAAAGTTAGGGACAACTTTTGAGAGATGGACAGAGGAAAGAGAAATGAGATTTAATATAGATAAATGTAAGGTAATACACCTGGGAAGAAATAGTAATCATCCTACATACAAAATCAGGAGCTGCTCTTTAGAAAACAGTAATAGAGAGGAAGGCCTGGGAGTAGTGGTTTATAATTAATTATTGCAGACAGGAACTGAAAACCTAACACTGGGGCAAAAATCAAATACATTCTTATTCTGGGCCAGCACCAGGGGTTTGTTTCTACAGTGAGTGCACAGAGATCAGGGAGCTGGCAACAACACAAGCAAAATATTAAACTTATATTTAAATGCAGAACTGTGGCTTAAAAACTACGAGATTTAACCTAGACAAGATTGTGGAAGCAAATCCCTTTTCATAAAGAAAAACATTGCATTTGGAAACAGTATAGAGAGACTTAAAACAATGTAACAATTCCATTGGTGAAAGAGAATCTGTTCTGAGCTGTGCTATTTAGGTAAGAGATGTTGGTCAGTAGATGAATTTAGCAGGTAGAAAACAAAGATATTGCAAGTAACTGTGTTCCACCAAAGACAGATGAAGCATTACTATGCTGAGAAGACAGTGCCATGTGAAAGCCTGCCAGACAACCCAGACGGAGTGCCATGAAGAGCTGTCTAATTACAAGACCTGATGGCTGTGTATTTGGAAGTTCACAGACTTGAAGATCAGAATGAAACAGAAATTGATTCTAGTCCTAGAAGAGGAAAGGAGGAATACCCTAACAAGGTATAGTATGTAGAATAATAAAGCTTTACAGGAGTATTTAATCTTACTAGTGCTGTGAGCTATTATCACAGGGTAATCCTGTCTTTGATTCCTTACAGGCCATGGTAGAAAGATGGCACTTGTCCCCACTATAAGGCAGCCTTGGAGGGGTATAATTTCTTCCAAGATTGGATACAGCTTGGGCTCACACCACCAGGTTGTATACAAGTGCAGAAAGAGGCATTCATTATCCCACAGGCAATTTTTCCTCCTCCTGGGAAAACAATGGTGGACCATTTCTTAGAGCCCTATATGTCAGAAAGCTTTTTTTGTTTTTTTTTAAGTAAGTGCAAAACCAAGTAACTATTTTTTTAAATATGAAAAAGAAAAAACCCACCAAAAATATAAAAGCTCTCAAAACTGACATTTCATCTTCTGTCTGAGAAGGCAGATAAAGCTGCATAATTAGTCAGGAAAGAGTCACTCCCTTTCTCCCCACAGCCTCCAGAGGATAAACTCCAGATAAGCCTTTCAGAGACTGCAGAGCTCCAACTGCAGAGGGTTTTAGTCTGTGAAAAGTGTTTGGAGCACACAATAATTAGAAGATCACAGCTGAATTTTGCTAGCTGTCACAGTATTTGTTGCTATCACTGCACAAAAGTACTCTTGTAGGTCTCCTGAGTCTTCCTAAATGTGTGCTGTAGTCTGATTTGTCCACATGGAACTTTTTAATAGAAAATTTGGTCAGTGTACAACACTTAAAGGCTTACAGCAAATCCCTTTTTCATGGCAGAACACCACCTGGACAGAATGAGAAAATAAAAGTTCTTTTCTTGGACAAAGCAAGAACTCCTTTACACTTTATACTATATCCAGGCCCTTACAGTACAGGGGGACTCAGTATGCTGGGAGAATCAGTGGGTAGCCTGCTAATCCAAATCCACATCTTCTTTGTATCCCCAAATCAGTGCTCAAGAGTTCTGGCAGAAGACAGGCCTTTTCTTAAGACTTGCCCTTCATCTCTGCTTGCTCACATTTTTTAAGTCCCAGTGGAAAAACTCCAGAGACACTGGGAGAAAGACAGTAAATATGTTGTAATTCCTTTAAACTTATTTGAGATTCACTTCTGTTTTAAGAAAGCAAACACCAATAACTGTCCGGGTTACCTTAAATTCAGTATGTGCTTAAGTGTTTCAGGACTATTTCTGAGATAGTCTTCATTACTGCTGCTTTCCAGACTGCTGTCTCAGATTTGTATAAATTTCTTACAAGGATTTCTAATCTTTAATTACAGTTCACTTAATGGTAGATGCACTTGTGCTGTCTCTTTTCTCATCCAAAACAGCTGTTCAAGTTGTTTATCTGTGGACTGTGCTTTGTTTTCAAGAGCTGATGTTTCCCATTACTGCTTTTTATCATTTTCAGGTATGCTTGGCTTACCTTCTCAGCTCCCATGGTCTCTCTACCTCCCTAGAAAACCAACTGCTGGGAGCTATATGCATAACATACAGGTACTTAACAATGCTTTCATTGTCTTTCAACCCAATTGTAAAGGTCATTTTCTCGGCTCATTGTCCCAGTCCCCTCACTCCTCTTTTGCACAGTGCCATTGGCTCCCTTTCTTCACTGTGTGAAATACAAATGACTTTTCTTTACTTTTCAAGCCTAACCTAATGTCTAATCTACATCACCAGGAAGGATCCTTCACTGCCACTATACAAACCAGTATACCAGTATTTTAAGGAAGACTTGTACATTCACTTTCATGCTTTCACCATGCTGCTGATTTTGCATAGCAAAATATCCATGTTATACCCCTAAACCTTCCCTAAGGAAATCTTTTAGGTTTTCCTAACCTAAACCTAGAGCAATTTTCTCTGCTTTTTCAAGCATCAAGTCTCTGTCTCGGCTTTGTCAGAGTCCAAGCATAGCTCTGACTTTGTCAGAGTCCAAATAGCATAACTGTTTTGCTAGAGATGCTTGTTCATACGAACCAGTTCTAACTTCTTCCTGCTCATCTTTTCTCTATAAGGCATTTCAGAGGCAAAAAAGTTCGTTGTTTTTATGTCTGTACAGTGCAAGCTACAGTGAGGGTGGGTTTAGGTGTAATTTTAAGAGTAGTATTAACAATAAAAATACAGTAAACCTAATTATTTATCTTGTTTCTAAGTCTGTAAGATACTTCCAGGTAGTAGTTCCAACACAGGCTGTTTAATTTGCTATACCAAAGTTGCTTAAATCTGTGGATTCCAGGAATAAATTTGCCGCAGGGACTAAGACAGAAAGAGGGGGACTGGAACTGTGCCTTTGCTGACAGATGACTGTTACTGGCTTAGCAGAATTACCAGAATGCACCCTGAGGGGCTGTAGTCACTCTGTTAGAATCACTCAGTGAGAACCATGCTCAGCATGGTGGGGTGGGGGCATGGTGATGTGTTTTACAGGTCCCTTACCAGGATCATAGTCAAATTCACCCACAGTGCTGACTGGGCAAACATTTGGCCACATTTCTTTTAACATGGAACTATGAGTGGTTCTGGAAAATTCTGTTTTATGAAGACCTAATATAAAAAGGCTTTTTCACCCCTGTTTCTGTTCCTTTTGGAAATTCTGTTATTTTATCATCTCATGTGTAGTTAAAGTGAATATTCTGTTGTAAGTTATAGCTTTCAAAAACCAATAAAAGGGTAAAGATTGGAGCAGAATTTAGAAAAATAGTCAGGGTATGCAATTTAAGATTCTTAAAGATCAGTGGTATCTTAAGATATCACTGAGAGGTGGACAAAAAGCTAGAGAAATGAGATCTACATGCTCTCAATATTAAGCAGCTAGAAGATCACATTTTCATTCATGACCACAAAATGCCTGTTTTATTCAGGAAAAATGAAACTCGTCAAATAGCTTTGATATCATTCTCTGGCAAGATTACAAGTACATTTGATAAAGATGACTCTATTGACATAATACACTAGTTTGTGTAGGGCATTTGTTTTATTCTGTGTGGCAGCCTACATAAAAGAGATGCATGGGAAGCAAAAAAATTAAAAACTGTTTTTCTATGTGGTGGTTTGCCATGTCACAGCTCCCTGCAATATGCCTGCCTCCTTTCTGTGTTTTTACTTTATTGCCTTATAATGCTTCTAGTTTAAAAATGTCCAGTCTTTGCATAATGTCTAACATCTTGAAGTATTCAGAATACCAAACAATGGGCACAAGAACCAAAGCAGGTTGTCAGGGATCTGTCTATCCTTTTCTAGTTACATCTCAAAATTATAAGGTAGTCATGTCTTCTCTGTTTTATAAAATAAGTATTATCAGGTTCTTAATTGAATGAATCAGTGATGCAACCATGCAATAAAGCTCATGAACTGCTGAGCCCAGTGCAGGGCATGACCCCATCCAGTGCACAGTGGATAAATATACCTTTAAAAATATCCAGATATCATTTTCATGTTGTTGGACTAATCACAAGATAAGTGATTATGTGACTTAGTGAATCTGTGGACTGAATAGTGAAAGGGTGAAAACTTCTCTCAAAGCCCCGAGAAAGAGTGAGCCCTCAGTAGTGTGAACACATATGCCAGATGAGAAAAGAGAGCTTCAGCTCCTCTGAAGCTTGATGAGTCCCTGATGCCATTCACTGATACTCAGTTATACAAAGTTTAATATCTGTGATGTCAGTACAATTCTCTGCACAATTCTCAGCAGATGTCTTAGTAATTTCTCCATGCAGGCAATGAAAGGCAAAACCATTTTTTTTTCTCTGGCACTCAGGAACAAATAGCACTGATAATAAAATGTGTCTTTACTTGTCTAGTAGTTTGACTAATTAAGGTGACGTGCCATGAAGTTTCAGAGTATTTATGCTTTTAAAAAGTGGAGTATACATCCAGTAATCACCTATAGATAGCAGACTCTAGTATTCAGGAAAACTTGATTCCCAAGCTGCAAACACTATTATTCATCTGGGAATTAAGTGTTGATTCCACCAGGTACATGGTGAAAAGACCTTTGACTTAAGTCGTTCAAATAACATTACTGTATGAGTAAATCACACAGACAAAAACTCTGAATACAGGTGAGGAAGACTCTCTCCTTCTTTGTCTGAAAATGTCTCACAGGCTACACATTATTGTCTTTTTAGTTATGAATGTATAGAGAGCTGGGGCCCTGAATATTTGGTTGATGAGCGTAAGAAACAAGGCAGTAGAGAAATTACTTTTTGTAAGATCTATTCAATTGACAGCAGTCAAAACCTTCCATTTTCTTCAAAAGTATATTTTGATTGAGACAATACTGTAAGAAGACAGGCATTGTGTATTTAACTTTATTAAACTAAAAATGGTGCAATTTGCTATGAGAGAGACAAAATTAAATACACTTTTTAGTGGCTTGTAGTAATCTGATATCTCCTAAAGTTACAAAGTGCAACCCGAATTGTGTTTAAGAAAGTTTCTTAACTTATGAATATGTCCATAGCAAGTGACTAGTATTATCAACAGAGCTTTTAAGTGAAGGCTTTACTGTTACAGGCTTGTCTGACTTGGATAACAAACTCTTTTAGTATTTCAGCCCATAAATCCTGAACAGAAAGATACTATTCTCTTGTGTTTCTGACAAACTAAAAGAGAATCTTTGTTTGCAGAGCTCCCCAGAGTTAACACAGTACTAGTTAATGATTTCACCATTGTAATTACTTTCTAGGGTCTGTCAGTCAGGCAGTTTTAATGTATGCAGAATGGGCTGCATCAGTTTTGTGCAACGTTACTATTTTACTTGGTTTCATGCTCCTTGTCTATTAACCTGTCCATAACAAGTTCTAAATATATGGACCAATTTATCGTAGAATCCCAGAATGGTTTGAGTTGCAAGGGACCTTAAACATCATTTAGTTCCAACCCCCCTGCCATGGGCAGGGACACCTTCCACTAGACCAGGTTGCTCCAAACCTCATCCAACCTGACCTTGAACACTTCCAGGAATGGGGCATCTGCAATTGCTCAGGGCAACCTGTTCCAATGTTTCATC